CGTGCGCCTCATTTTTTTTGCCTCGTAGATTGAGCCTCGAGGCATAGAAGCTGCGCCTCACAGTGAGGCGGGCCTCAGCAGGGTTTTTTCATACCATGATTGTAATATGCTCTTGAGTGACATTTTGGGAAGCTATCCCCATTCAAAAGTGTTTTTTGTTTGAGTCGCCCACTCTCATCCTTGCTCAATCTTGCTCCTGTTCTCTCTCACTCAGGGCGGACTTAGCACCTGGCGAGGGGACGCAGCCGCGATTGCTGGATCCGAGAGTTCAATACCAGTGTCGTCGGATCACTGTTGCAGAGAGAACGGAGAAGATGGGAAGAAGAAGCCACTATTTCAAGTCATGTAGGCCCTTTTTTTTTTTAAGTTTTGGCCCATTAATTTTGGGGCTGAGTTAGTTGGGCCTTTTTTTTAAAATTAGGCCCAATAAAATGAAATAACTCCAAACCTTCCCTTCACATTTCACTCCTTCAGAATTCACAGTTCTCCTCCTTGCTCTGTCTTGCCGTGCTGCTTGCTATCGCCTACCGATAATCCAGCCTTGTTCTGTTTTTTTTTCTTCCTCTTCTTTTCATTGATAAAGGGATAGTCGGATAGATGTATTACGTTGTAATAATGCAAAACCCATTTCTGTAAGAATAGGTTCAAGAGATTGAAAGGGTTGTTTGACCATTTGAGGATTTTGAGAAAAACATTGTGATTTCTTGTAAGAATTTTGTTGAGAAAAATGAGGATTTAGGGGAACGAGGGAAGTTGTGTGAAGTATTGAGTTTGAATGAAGAGTGTAGAGCAGTGGAGGGTTTCTTTTAAAGAAGGAAATGTGGTGATGGAGAGAGTGAGGAGGACATTGTAACCATCCCTTTTTTGAGCTCCTTCAAAAAATCTTTCTTTTGGAGTTGGGATTTTGTAATTTAAATAATGGCATCTATTACTTGTCCTCGCAATATTTAATGTCAGTTTTGGTGTTAGCAACATAATATTTATTTTAAAATTACTTTTTTACTTAAATAAACTTACTTGTAAGTAAAAAATTTTAAGGTTAGTCTTATTTTCAATATTATTTAATTAAAAATTAATAAACCTCGTTTTTACGATTGCTGATTGTCGACAGTCAATTGTCAACGTCCACCCGGGTTAAACTTTTGGGCTAGGTCCGCCCCTGCTCTCACTCCATGTTCTTAAGACTGCAATTGGTTGGCAACTTAGATTGGACATTGTTTGATATCATGTCATTAAAGAGCACTATTAG